AAAGAAAAAGAGTGGAAAAAAAAAAACAGAAGTTGGGATGAAGAAGAAGATGAATAGTGTAGAGGAGAGAGAAAGGCTATGTGTTGAGAATTAAAATTAAAAGAAAAAGGAAATGAAAGGAAAAAAAATGGTTGGGAATTGAGGCTTTTCACGTGTAAAAAAAATTGGAATGGGTTAAAAGGATATGATTGTGGGAGGTGGGTCCCACTTGTAAGGAAGATGAGAGATGAAGAGTTGTAATTGGATGGTAGAGAGAGAATGAGGTTGTTGACTAAATTTATGGTTTAATTTGAAGAATTGTAAAGTTTAAATTGGTAATTGAGGGTGAATTGAAATTTCATTGGTTATTATTTGAGGACGATCGGAAATTGAAGCAGCGTACCAACCAAATTCACCTCGTTCATAGGATTTGTGAGTGGTTATTTTACTAAATAATTTAAGATATCTATTATAGAACTTCAAGAAAATATATGTTACGTATGTTTGATTATTTCTGCTGAGAAATTGAGTTTGCTGGGAATTTATGAATGTTGTTTAGAACATAGAAATGTTTTATGATTTTCTGAGAATCATTTTCAAACCATCATATTGTTGTATCCAGGTGATTACCCGTATGCTATGTCAATGTGTTTCAATAGTATACCCAGAAATAGAAGGTCTTTGGGACCATTTTACTCCACGTGTCGAGAGAAATATTCTGCTGTGTATATTGAGATTACTCTGTGCTAGTGGACGAGAAATAGAATTATTCTGCTATGCGTATTGAGATTACCCTGCGCTAGTAGACCAGAATAGAATGTGGATACATATATGGTGTTGAGTTTCCTTAATCTGTTTTAGGTTTGAAAGAAGATATTTGATATGTATTTCAGAAAGTGTTTTTAGGAAGTATATGTTGTTACAAGTTATGCTCAGAAAATTACTGAATTTTAGTTGCTCAAGTTCTATGAGGTTTTAACGAGAATGTTTATTATTTCAGCTTTATGAAGCTCGTCTTAAGAATTGAAATTTCAGTTGTTTTTATGGAATAAGTTTTAGGAAATTATTTTCTTAATAAAATGTCACTCACTGAGCTTCTTAGCTCACTGTTTATCATTGTTTTTCTCCTCCATGAGTTTCATAGAGATAGCCGACCAGTTTCTGCCACTCACCGTCTCAGAATTTGCATATCATTTTGTATGTACATCTAGAATGACTTATACTGGAATAGTTGTACCTTTTGTGATTATACAACATGTTTAGGAGTGGTGGCCGAGTAGTTATTTATTTATTTTTTTAGATGAATTATGTTACACTTTATGTTTTATATGTTAAAGAATAATCTAAATTAGTTTTAGAAATTTAGAAAGAATTTGACTATAGACTTGGTAGATGGTTGGGGGTCTGTGGTCGGCACGACTTGTCCTATAGTGAGTAGGTGTTTAGGGCGGGTCGTGTCAAGAACGTTTAACTTTGAAGTTCTTACGATTGAACCACCGAAAAGGAAGGTGTGCACCTTGTTAGTATAGGTAGTAACTATAATTTCTTTTAAGCTTTCTTAACCATACCTTCTATGGTCTCAGGATCCATCTCATTTGGATGTGGTATCGGCTTATTCTAGTCAGGCGTTACACTACAACGATCGTCTCACCAGGATACAACGACTAACTCCGGTAGAACTGCAACCCGAACTACTCGGATCTGGCAGAACTATTAGATACTTGCTCTCAACACAAACAAAAACAAAAACTCAAAAGAAGAGAGAACTCTTGTGGGAGGAGGATAATACTCAATTGTGTTCTACTCAGATATCTCAAAATGAAGCAAAACAACAACTATATATAGTTGTCCAAAACAAGTAACATCTCACGAGTTTTTAACACATATAAAGTTACAAATATGTAACTTTGTAACTTTAACAAAATAAAGAAAAAAACTCCTTATTTAAACATATAACTTCAATTTTAGTAAAACGAAGAAACATAACAACTAAATAAATAAATAAACCATTGATAAACAAAATGAAACAAAATTCACAACGCACATGTGAATTAACTTACAAATTTAATTTCTGGATATTAAATTTCTATATATATTCAATTGTTTATCGATATTTCAAATTCCACCTTATTTCACACTTTGAAAAATCCAACAGAAACAAATTTTTTAAGAACCAAAATGAATAAATTTGAAAATATAGGGAAAAAATGATATTTAAACTCATATTTAACTTAAAAAAAAGTTTTTGAATTACAAATTTAGCCTTTTAACGATATCTTCAATTATGTCAGAGGCCAGTAAAAATTTTGCTAGGCACCTGCATAGACATAAAATTGATTTTTTTTCAATAAATTGGTGAATTTTAAAAAATGTGAAATATGTAGAGAGCTCTACGAAACATAAAATAAATTAAAAGTTTAATAACATGTCAAATACTTTAAAGTTTAAAAATCTATAGATTAGCATAGAAAGGTTTTTGCGTTAGATCCTTTATACTATTTTTTAGACACACAATGCACAAACCAACCGAAAGAAGAAACATAACAACTAAAAAACTAAAACCAAGGAAACTAATTAAATTAAAACACCACCGCTTGACGATCTGCAGCAATAACTTCAGAAAGATCTGACAGCCACTCCTCAACCCAGACGTGAAAGGACTCGGAAACCATGCCCATCCGAGCCAACGTATGGGCGCCAGAATTTCCTTCGCGATTGACGAAACTGAACCCGCCTCCAATATGCAAAGAAGAGACAATGTGTCTAATACTTGAAGCAAGAACACCAATCTCCGATTCATCTTCACAGTCCGTCCGCAGCAAGTTAAAAACCTGGCTAGAATCAGTCTCAATTTGAAAAGGAATGAGACCCGCTTCTATGGCCAGACAGACACCCTCTTGGGCAGCCAAACATTCTGCCAAAGTAACATCAGAAACATGGGTTATAAAGCACATAGCTGATAACAAAACATTCACAGTGGAGTCACGAATCAAAATATCCAAGCCGGCAGAGAAATTCCCCTTTTTGAACGCAGCATCAACATTCACTTTAAAAAAAGGAGCCAAAGGTGGACACCACGCGGACACACGGCCACCCCGCCCGTCCAACAGGAGCGGAAGTGAAGGACCCTCCTGTGCTGATTGATACACCTGCAAATAATCGGCCACCCAATCAACCATGTTGACCAGAAGAAAACCATGGCCATTGGTGAACATAGATTGATTTCGAGCATTCCAAATCGCCCAAAGAAAAACCGACAGTTCCTCCAGCCCCGTCCACTTGATTCGATCCATCCAATCTCAACAAAAGGTAAGGGGGTCAACCACCACCAGCTCGGCCATAAAAGGAGCAAACGGAGTACTGTACCATAAAGAAAACAGTTTTTTACAATACCCAAATACATGGAGAACAGATTCCCCATATTGACCACAAAACCGGCGGATAGGTTGCACATCCACCCCTCGTGCAGCCAAATTATCCCTCGTTGGCAACCGGTTAAGACACAAACGCCACATAAAGAAACGAATTTTACTAGTGATGTTCATCTTCCAGAAACTACTCCACCAAGAACGCAAACTGTCACAGGAGGAAGAAGAATGGGAAACTGAACACATCATGCTATTGAGCTACTCTATACCTGCTCTTGACAGTGTAAAGACCCCGAGTCTCATGATGCCAAATCTGTTTGTCAACCGAAGAACTAAGCAAAGGAATATTCAATATTGCAGTAGTCTCCTCATCAATAAAGTGGGTTCTAATTTACCTTCATCCCAAAGGCCAGACGGGGTTCGGAGATCACTTACCTTGCTATTAAGAGGTAACAGAGGAGGAGACTGAATAAGAAAGGACGGAGCAAGAGGGATCCACCCATCAGCATAGATCCAGACCCCTTCGCCATTACCCACACGCCAGCGAAGCCCAGCCCGAAGAAGATCTCGCCCCCAAATGAGACTCTGCCAAAGAAAAAAGGCCGACGAACCCAATTTGGCTTCAAGGAAACCACACGTCTTAAAATATTTATGTTTCAGAATCAGAGCAAGAACGGATGAAGGATCACTAAAAAACCGCCAATCATGTTTCGCAAGAACAACACGATTAAAATGCTCTAGGTCTCGAAAGTCCAAACCCAGTGTTTCCAACTAACCCAATGAATCTTACGATGATTGCATGTAGTTTGATATAGCCAATGAGGTATTGGGAGATTTTTTTTTTTTTTATCTTTTTCAGTATAACCATAGATAAGGAATTTGAATTCTTAATTGGGAGAAATATATTTTAATAAGTCAATTATACTCAAATTAGTCGCACTAAAAACTAGACTATCGTTTAGGAATAAAATGTCCATAGGCATATATGTTCCTATCCTATTAAAGACAGTGTTCTAACGAGACTCATAGTTCTCTCCTTTCAAATCATATCTTGGTTTAAATGCTATGTCTCTGGCTATGTGCTTTTTTATTTCTTTGGTTTATTTTAGTATTTGTATTTTCAAAACATTTATTGTGATTTATTTACTTTCCAAATTTGCTTAATTTTCATTTCAGGTGCTTTTAAACATCAATTTTTGTCTTTTTACTTTTAAAAATGGACAATTTTGCCTCATTTATTTTATTTTTATTTCATTTATTTCGATCGAGATTTTAAACGACACTTCACTCACTAAATTTATTCAAATGTAGTTATAATTTGTATTATTTTGCAAGTAAAGACTAAAATGACCACTTTTTTAGAAGCACAAAAGGACAAAAATGGACGTTTTGAAAGTACAACAACTAAAATGAACAAAGTTGAAAGTTGTTTATGCACGATTTAGATCATCTCGAGATGCTCGGACCAATAGGCATACTTAAACTCTGAACTCTACAGTACACAGAGAGGAAAAAGCTCTGACACTCAAGTCAATTAAGGTTCGAACTATAGCTTTCATGATGAGGAATAGAATCACATATCTCATCACTGAAGTGGATACCTCTATTTATAGGCAAAGACTTGCAGGTCCCACCGACCCAATAGTTACAATCGTTTCGTGATCCATGCGTATCGTTGGAAAAGTGATTAATGAGTAGTGTTCGACTTGCCCTTTATTAAGGTCGGTTTGTAAGATCCGTATGGCTTGGCTCAACCATTAAGAAAGTCAGCACTCATATGGTCTATTTGTCGATTCAGCAAAGGGAGGTTTTCAAGCTATTCTCGAAGTGACCTATATATATTCATCATATGGTACTTAGGTTAATACCTCAAACTATTATGTAACATTTCTCAACTTATAATGTGTTGACACGTAGAAGGTCGGTTATTGTATTGTCTCCAACAAAAGTATATGAACTAATATAGACATTTTAAAAGTAGAGAGATCAAAATGAAAAAAAAAAAAAAAGAAAATAGTATGAACTAAAATAATATTTAAATAAAAAATAATAATAATAGTAAGAATAAAGAAGAATGTAAAAAAGAAAAGGCAAACTTTTTGGAAAGGACACGATTTAGGATTTAGTATCAACAATTAAGAAAAATAAAATTGGTCTGTTTCTTCACGAGCAAGATTCGCTGTTGTAGCAACTTAGCATGGGATGGGACCAACTTCAACGGCTACTAGTTTCTCTTTTTTCAAATTTTGTTTTTAATGAATTTTCACATATCATTATTTTTAGTATCTTGTTTTTAAATATATTTTCCCTAATTTTGCATAAAAAGTTTTTTAGTACCATTTTTTTTAATATATAAATAGTTTAAATGAATACATGACATTTTCCTTTTTAATTTACATGATGAACAAATATTTACAGATTTTGAATGAATTTAGACTTTCAATATCTAATAAATTGAAAAATAGATTAAAATACAAATTTATTTTCACAAACTTTTAAAAAGTTGCAATTGTATCTTGAAATTTAAGTTATAGTTTATGTAATTCTTATGTTAAATGATGTGACATCATGTTTTATTTAGTACAATTAACGTTAAATATAAAAATTTGAACCTCCAACTTTAAAGAAGTAGTAAATTTCATTTTATGAACCATATCTATTTTGATAATGAAATCCTGCCTTGAAGACATGATTCATTTTAGTATCAATCATGATTGGATCTATAATTGAAAAATGTCACCTCATAAAAAAAACTATTAAGAAAGTACCATTTTTCTTAAATTAACTTTAAAAAATAAATACAATTTTTTTAAAAATAAGACGTTATCATGTTAATAACAAAAATTGAGGTGAAAGGAGGAGAATGAACCAATCCAAAAATTGACCTAACCACTAGAACATCTTTCAACCAATTAAAATATCATCATTTTTCAACCAATTAAAATATCATATCTGATTGAAAGATTATGAGTTATAATCCCCTTATTKGTACAATTTCATCTTATTTGAACATTTAGTATGTAAAATACTAGATGCTTATGAATTAGAACCTATAATCTATTGATGATATTAAAGAGATAAATAAATAAATAATAAATATTTTTCTATCTTTTAAATTTTTATCCACTCACTCGCCTTAAAGCCACGTCTAGTTTTTCCGCTTGTCGTCCACTTCCACTTCCGACAAGTTCTGAACAATCTCTCTGTTTCTTTTTTTATTTTTATTTTTAAAATTTTTAAAAACCTCAAAATTCCCAAAACCCTTACTCCTCCTCCATCCGCCGCTTAAATTTCGGTGCAGAGAAACCAAATCCTCTCCCATGTCCTCTCCGATCGACCAGCTCCAGCCGCCGCCCACCTCCGCCGCCCCTCCCAGTTCCGGCCACGGCTCCGTTGGCCCCGTCATCGCCGTCCTCGCCGTCATTTCCATCCTCGGCGTCATTGCCGGCATGATCGGCCGCCTCTGCGCCGGCCGCCCTGTCCTCGGCTACGGCGGCCACTACGACCTCGAGTCCTGGGTCGAGACCAAATGTGCTTCGTGTATCGATGGCTCGCTCGACCCTCCGCCGCCGCGTAGACCGCCGCCGCCGGCGGTGGAGTCTATTCCGGTCGCGGAGCCGGTGGGCGGACCGCCGGAGATGAAGGAAGGGCAGCCTCAGCGGGAGAATTTGCAGCCGACGCCTCCGGGAAGCGGCGGAGAGTCGTGAGATTAAAAGAGTAAAGTTTTTCTTCTTTTTTTCCTTTCTTTATTTTTTTGGGGTTCAATTTTGATTCTTTTACAAATCTAGTGGATGAATATGAATCTTTGAAAATTTTCCCTTTGCAATTTAAATCATTGAATTTCGTCCTCGTAACAGTTTCTGAACTTTCACATTAAGTCTATCTTAATATGTTAGTACATATTTTCATATTTATAGCTAGTTCAATTATTAATTTGTCAAAAATAAATAAAGAACTTTCACAATAAAGTCTCGAAAGGAATGTGTACATGTCAAACAAAAATAAAGATTAAATTTTTAAAGGTTACTAAAATTGATATTTTTTAAATTTAAGGACAAGATTTAAATATTTATTTTTATCTCTAGGAGTGTCTAAATCAATTTAACTTAAGTCAATGCTGCCAATTAGAACATAATTCAGTAACATAAGGCACATATATTTGAATGAGATTAAGAGTATTGTACTAAAATGAATAACATTATATATTTTTTTTTTTTTACACTTTCAAAAAGCACACAATGAAACTTTTTATTCTTCTAAAAATGCCGTGGAAGTCTTTTTCTAGAGTTTTTTAGGGACTTTATACCATTTTAAAAAGACATCTGAGATTTATAGAAGAGCATAGGAATTTATTAAACATATGAGAATGAAGAGAAATTTCATCTCATAACTAGCTCTATACCATATGAAATATCATATTAAATAGAATGTACATTACATTAAAAATTTGGGAAAAAATAATTTTTAAGTAAATGGAAATCAGAAGATTCTAGTTCTATCCTATTTGTTTCATTTTTGTCCTTGTAGCTTTTGAGTGTTATATTTTAGTTGTCGACCTGAACATAGTTCAACTGTTCAAAACATCTATTTTAGATCAAAAAGTCGTGAGTTCGAATTCTCACCCTATATGTTGTACGAAAAAAATGTTATATTTTAGTTTTTAAATTTACATAAAAATATCTTTTTTTTTTCCTCTCTGATCACATTTCACAAATTTTATGAAGTGTATTCTAAACCACACGGTAGAAATCAAGATAAACGAAACATTTGAAAGGATAAAGATAAAATGTAAAATAAGTATGCTTTTTTAGACTACAACAAAATGTTAAATTTCAAATTGGTCCCTATGATTCGGGAAAAGTTTGAATTTGGTTCCTACCATTTTAAAAATTTCAATTTTGTTCTCGTGGGTTGGGCTTAGCTTC